GGGGGGGGGGGGGGGGGTTGATACCACACATTCCAGTCTTGAAGGTGACTCAACTCCCTGAGTCTCATAATACTGAAGGATTCTAAGTTACTGTTAAATCTCATACTTCTTGAACTAAATCCATGCCCATGCTCACTAAAAGCATTGCTACCTTTTTCCTGTTCCTTTGGTAGCTGAAATTCATTGTAAAGTTCCTCATGTTAGTGTTAGTGCCCATCCCAGAAAAGAATGAACCTGTTAGAATTCTTGTCTTCTAAAAGCAACATAACCCTGCATTAGTTGTGTGAATGTTCAGCTCTGCTTGTTATTTTCTAATTTCTGGTCTATTAGTCTTTCTGTATAGACGACATACTTGAGTTTTGAGTTATTCCAGTTTTGAGATTTGTACAGTCGTTAAAATCATACCTGAAACAGACTGGGTTTACACAGCACAAGCCAAAGAAAAAATTAACCAAGTTTAAAACTAATCAAGCTTAGCATATTGTGTGAATTGTGTGAATACAGCCTATAGATTTTAGGTGACTTGGTTAAGAGTGTTGGATGAACACAATCTATACAAAGTTGACATTGCCCTTATGTAAAGCAGCCAGTGAGCTCCTGAGACTGTAAATTACTTATAGAGGTATCATTTTCTAGGCCGCTCATACTTTCTAATTAATACTATTACCAATATAGAACTACCCAAGAGTTTTATAAAGGGCAGTCCAACACAAAGACACAAGCACAGCAATAATAGATTGTTGCCCCAACAGCCTTTTAATTCCTGGTCTTGCATGGAGTCAGAGTTACAGCCCATTTCTTCTGAAGCCTATTTCTTTACCTGTAACAGCAGCTCAATCAACTTACATTAAGAAATGAAAAATATCCTTAACCCCCAAATTTACGTCCTAAATGTGCCACATAAGGTGCCTTTTTCAAATTCACAGCTTGTAAGCTTCATTTGAAAATTTGTGACAAAATAGCTCTTCTTGTAAAAAAGAACCCCCTCCCTCAGAAGGCTAGTCTCTGAGGATAGCAGCCTTTCATCTCTGACATTTTTCATTTAACCCCTCCACTGTGCAGGACCAGTCCTGTCATTAAGTGAAGTTCCAGGCATCTGTCTCAGGTGCAAATACTGGGCAGTGGCAAGCAGAAGCAAGTTGTTGGAGTGCCCATGTACCTCACAGCCTGGTCTGCATCTGCTGAGCCTGGGACGGACAGCTGAGATCACCCAGGCTCATCCTGATATCAATTCCTTTTTAAAGAAACATTTAAGTCAAAAGCTTTGCATCTTGCCCTGTTACATTTGATGTTTTCATTGTTAATTCCTGCAGTTCTTGATAAAGTGGTTAATGCTGTTTGCCCAACCACATTGTTTTGTTTTGGCTTTTATTCAAATGTTACCTACCTCCTAATTCCCAATGCCCTTCTACTGGAACTATATGGATAGCCAAACCTAACAAAATTCAGCAGAAACAGTTACATATCAATGCTTCCCTATTTCTACTTGTCTTTCTTTCCTTTGGGTATGTGCTGTATTCCCATATTTCTTCCTTCCCCTGAGTATATGCTGTATTCCAGGCCCTAGGAAACTTTCTTCACTAATGCTGAACTTCCCAGCTTATCAGTAGGCTTCTCTATTGCCATTCAGAAGTTCTGCCAAACTGTTTCAGGCCAGCCAGGTTTTGGCAGAATAACTTGGTTGTTCCAGGTTTTAGACAAAACAATATCTAGTTGGAGTGAGTAGGTCCATGTCACTGGTCCATGCCACCCCCCCCCTCCGCTCCTTCCTCCAATGGCTCCCACGATGGCATATCCCACCAAGATGTATGTCATCTCATTTTCCTGGTGTCTTGCTTTGCCTCCCCCTTCAGCTGTCACCCATGTCCCACCAGCCCCCTTGTCCTTAACATTCCCAGTTCCTTCCTTTCCCCAGCTGTGGCCACCAGTGTCTCAATTCAACATATTCCATTGGCTCACCAGCCTCCCATTCTTCCCAAAGCTTTCCCTTCTTCCCTTCTTTCACTAATGTCCCAGTGTAGCCTTTGCTACTGGCTGGGCACCTATACAGACTTCCTAGAGCATTTCCTGACTCCACTGAGCTACCCCATTCCTTCCCCTATCCCCCTACCCCACTTCCTCCCCCGAAATTACTTCTGTCCAGAATAAAACAGTTTCCATGAACAGACCAAAACATCTCAAAATATTCCTTCAATTCAGGTACAAATTCCTCCAAACCAGCTATTCTATGCACAGGACGGTTCATCCTCAGAACATTTTGCATAACCCTCTATCTACTATATTTATTATTATTAGCCTAGATCAACCTACTCCAGGAGGATGGCCTCTTCACTGAAGATTATGAACCATAATCTACCCCAGCGTCCAGTACAGATTCCTAGACATGTTTTTCAATGTCCCAATCTA